ACCGTAAAGAATGACCCGTTCTCGGTTGACATTTTCACAACACAACTTTTAAGTTATATCTAAGAACATCGTTCCTTTATATTCGTGGTGAGAACTGTTTCATTTATAACTGGTATTAAACGTCATACAAGTAGATGCGTCACGATTTCGTGGTCACGATCAAGATATATAAAAAGTTAGTTTGTAAGTACATGGAAATGGAAAATTTCTTTAGCTCTAACTGCATGTATTTTGGCGCGCAGAAAAGTAGATTTCAATTTGATGACCCGGTTTCTGGATTAAAAAACCCTAATTGGTGTTTCAAAACTCGCGCGATTATACCATCGACAAACAGTGCCCCCCATACAACCATCAGTTTCCTTGGTATCGCAGACCTTTTCATTCTACCATAAAACCCTTCTTGTCTTTTCAAGAGTAAGCATAACACAGAATATTCGTCGACGATCTTTCTGTATTGAGGTGATATGATTCAAACACGCCCCAGATAGGAATGACTGCACAAACTCACAAATTAGATCCAAAAGATTACCTTGGGTCTCGCGGCAGCGAAGCCGAGAGAAAAGGCTAATACGCGTCAAGAAAACAGGGCGCAATGGTCGATAATTAACATGGTAATAGCTGATGGCTTAGGGACGCTCATACCTCTAACCGATCCAGTGTAACTGAAAACATTTTCAAATTTCCACAGAGCACAATCATCTCCAAAGCTCCTCTCGTTATCTGTTGGACTGGACACTAACATATGACACACTTTGACAATTCTCTGTTGAGGTACACAAGCATGGGTGCCAATCGTAGCTGGAAAGATGACAGCAAGTCATTTAAAAGCCACACAAACAAAAGAAAGGACATGAATAACGGCCAGTGAGATATGAGGAGCAGAGATCGGAATTCTGGCCAGGCAAACCGTCACTCCCCCCCCCCAAAGATGTCAGAAGGTACAACGAACTTGAAGAAGAGCAAGGGCTTGTTCTTTGTCCAAGTCTTGGTAGCTTGCTTGTTTCTTGTCTGTGCATATGTTCGGGATACAAAAGCACTGCTTTACCCAACACCTAGGCCTACATACGTTGGGTAAGGGTAAAACCCATTATATAAATTAACATCTCCCCAATGCAAAAAAAAAAAAAACACACAAAAACAAAAACAAACAAAAAACAAATCTTTAAAATAGTTTGCGGTACCCGCTCCTTCACCTGACTCGGACCGGCCAGCCGACCCTAGCAAGCTCGGTGGTGGAGTGGTTAAGACATCTGCACTAGTAAGCAGGAGGTCGTGGGTTCCAGTCCCACCCGAGTAAGCTTGTGACTTTTTTTCGCAAGCTCTCGGACAAGCACTGAGTATACAGTGTTTATTAATATATACGTTGGGTAAGGGGAAAAACCCGTTATATAAATTACCTATAAAGAATAGGCCTAAATGTTGTCATTTAATCTTGTCCAGAAATTTAGTTCACCCTGTATATCCATTGTATCTTAATTAATTTCTTCTCGTTTGTACAAATAATTTTGTAACTATGTCAGCATTTAATAAATGTCTCATCATCAATTAATTACACATTTTCATAAAGACTCAATTTAAGACAAATGGGTGAAAAAAGTAAATAACGAAAAAAAAAAGACTTATTGACATTTTCCCTTTGAAGGTGGACTTTGATGTCAAGTTATCGTGCCATATTGCCTATCACATCTTAAGAGTGTAGCTCATGTGCCCCATTTCCTTGGCGAAATTTTGATTTGAAGCATAATTCGACTGACATCTACGCTGATTGGTCAGAGCAACATTTCCGCACTGGCTATCAAGGCCACATCTGATTGGGTTTGGGCGGTTCTAGTCAGAACTCTAAATTAATCCATTTCGTTTGGCATTTTGTATTTACTTCTCTGCCACATGGTTTCGACACAAGGTTGTAAAAAGTGGGCTTTCACGATAAAACGTGCATGGTGTTTTCTTTGTAGTTAAAACAAGTTCATGGTTCCAAATGCATTTCAGGGAATATGAGCACGGAAGCTAGTAAAAACAATAAATATATATTTTCTGACTCAAAGCAGAAGTTCTATCCAAATAAATCTTGAGTTTACACATGTATTTCAATGATTAAATTAAACTATATTATACAATACACAATATTATACGATATTTTTAACACCTCCGTCATTATTATAATCATCATCATAATCGTCGTTTCTTAATCCATGTTTTAAATTTGTTATAAAATGTTTAATTGGATTTGTGTGTTTTTTGTGCATTTGCTTTGTCCTTGTCTTATATGTAATATTTTAGCTGACCTCTTTTATTCTGTATTTTATGGATAAATGTTGTATGTGATTCATATTTGTAATTTTACTTATTGTTAATTTTTTATTTCAGTCTGTACCAGTTTATTTATATTTTAATGTTTGTAAACTGTCTCTAAATTCAGCCATCTGGCTGCAATTAGCAGGTTTTTAATAAACCAATAATAACAATAAAAACAAACGCTCCTGTATCTCAGAGTAAAACATGCATGCCGTGTTCTCCTTTGCCTTAAATTTCCTCGAGTGGTAATAATTAAACGGAAACGGGTATGCTCAAAACAAGAGCTGCCTCAAATCTGAGCATATACGAAGAAACATGACGCCCTTATTTTCACTTGGTATTGAAGAGCAATTGGTGGGAATGATTTGATGCTTGCTTTTGTTTATTGGGTGTTAAAATCTGAATTTGTGCAAGAAACACAAGGTAACTTCTTCAACCTAGCCCTAAGGTGTGTATGTATGTGTAAACGTAAAATTTAATGGTAAGCTTTTGTCGTTAAACAGTGCATTATTGACAAACAACTTTGAGACTAACTCGTTTCTTGTATGCAATTATTTTTTTGCTAAGATTGGTATTTGATTGGCAAGAACACATTTTGCAAGCGTGTGGCCGACAGGTGCATGACTAGAAGTTATATACCGAACTGTTTTGCATTGTTGATTAATTACATGCTAACGAAATATAACATTATATCAGCTGAGATAAAAATTTCTGCAAATGGGGTTTTTCTTTCATTGCAAATTTCGCAGTTTGTGTATTGTCTGCGTCGACTTTACTGTGAATTAAAACGCATTTGGAATGATTCGTTTTTCCTTTTTTTCTGGTAATTCTTTATTGTACCCTGAATGCAACAACCTAGGTTTCGTGTATGATCGTTACACCCCACACAATAAAGACTAATACATCATAGGCTAATTCATCGTTTGCATGAGCGTTCGGTTGAAGGGGGGGGGGTAGAGTGAACGGGAAACAGACCTAGAACATTATGACAGAATGAAGTGACTGTGATTGGGTGTAGAGGGAGGAGGTTGAAAATGTTTATTTGGGTATGTGCGTGTTTATATGTTTATAAACTCCAAGAACCACATGCCATGTGTAGGGAACGTGAAGGTTATCTTTGATTCGGGTTGGCTCAAGACACGAGAGGCTGAAGAAAAGTGACACAATACGAGCCAGTCAGTACTCAGGGGTTGATGCTACATTCCTTTCATAACGTGACACGTGACTCTTCCAAACCAATGACACTGCAGTATTCAAGCAACGACACAACTGTTGTCAGGCGGGCTCTTTATATAGGTTTACATTACAAACTGCAAGCATTCTGGACCAACTTACGTCAAGAATTCAAAACTACGGCATCATCCCTTTTTAATTTCAATTTTAACCTGCACCTTTAATTCCAGATATTCCACAACACTCTTATCCTTCAATGAACTATATTCAGTTCTCGAAGCGGTGTTTCCTTCCTAAGTTCCTGAGAGCCTCTAGGCTGAGCGTGTCTTGTCATTTCACGCGCTAACTGCCTCAGAGACCTCCCTGATTGCTAGCAAATGGCTGTCACTGATCCCATTACTGCATCTCATTTTCACGAGCGATTGGCGCCCCGTGCGTGCTCTCATGAAGTCAGCCGAGGGTCCACGGGCTTGATTTCCAGGGCCCGCAAGATAGATCTTCTGTCCGGCGATCCTCATAGAACATTTTCCTTTGCTTGATTTGGTGCGTTGCTTTAATTTATCCGGTGTTTCCGCGCGGATCACTCCTTCAAGTTGCCAACCCAGGGCGGAAATTGACTGTTTGCTGAGCCTATTTTCCGCCCAGTAGCGTTGTCAAGTGTAATGCAGGCATTTAATCCAAGACTGAACCGTTGGATTTACTGATCTTTATTTTTCTGTCCTGCAACAGGCAATGATATTTTGACTTTTTTGGTTAGTCAGCACAATACAAGACTGTTTGTCAATAAACTTCATTTATATAAAACTCCCCCAACGCATGGGTCTGTGAAAATTCTTGCGGAAGTGTTTCAACAGGACCGACGTAGGGCCTATATACCAGAATGAAACTGTGATGTTTGGAAACGTTCGTGACTGAACTGGATTTCATTCGAAAAGATATACATGTATAATTCTCTATGTGCATGCGTGTTAATTGTTTACGCTGACAAATACATTTCAATGATATTCTTTTTAAATCGTGTTTGTTAGTAAACCTCAAAATTTCGATAACACCGGCACGATCAGATTAGATACGAGTGACGTCAATGGTGAAAACTTCTCAAAGTAATACTGTTCACCATAAAGGAACACAAACACCAATAAAGGTCTGCTAAAAGGAATCACCAACGGTAATCTGTGATCCCACACTGGGAGTCGCGTATTTTATAAGGCCATACCAACACGAACTGCAAACACGTAACTACAGAAATGAGAAAATTTCACAGAAAATCCTGACGTGTATACAGGCGGCTAGGGTAAGGAAACCCAACAAAAGCCAGTTCATGTTACATGCAATTATGCGGAAGGCAACGCCAATTCGATTTAAAGCAACATCGGCAGAGAGGTCATACGTGTTCTGCTTTGGCGAATCCACGACGCGATACAGTGAGGTCACATTTTCGCGTTGAGTTTACTTTGGATCGGGCAAAATATTATAGTATTTAAGGCATCGACTTATTCACGCCAAAATAAGCCAGAATGAACATGTAGCAATGACAGTTTTTGTGCGGCAAAAAGGCCTTATTTATTTGCTACTTAAAAATTTAATTAATCAAATTCTAAAATTAGTTAGAATCACAAGTCAAGAGTTACAGTACTGGAAGGATAATACTGAGTATTTAAGGAATGCACAAAAATATATTTGTTTTTAGAACAATTTCCTCAGACAATTAATTCAGACTTTTGGTAAAGCAAGCCGGAGCACAGTAAAAAAATATACGGTGAGGCGGCTAATTGAGTGGTAGCTCAGTTTGTATACCAAATCTGGCTTGTTAAAACTGCAGGAATATCCAAAATATTCACCACACCTCATTAGCCCATAAAAATAGTGTGTTTGGGCAAGATAAAACGACACCAATTCCAATAACAAACACACTTTAGGACGAGTGAAAGTGTTGTACGATTACATTTACAGATTTGATTCGGGTGTCTCGTTTCAGCATAGCAGGGCTCTAGTTTGCCTCATATTTTTCTTCTTATTAATTCAGTGAGTGTTTTCAGCTGAAAACAGTCACTTTCAGAAAACTCAAAATTCCAAAAAAATTCTCATTATGTATTTAATAGAGTTAAATTTGAAATGAATTAGCAAAATCCGACCCATACCTGCCACAACTGCATTGTGTGTTATATAGTGTTAATTAACTATGTTTGATTTTGGACCTAAATTTGGGCAAAATTGGGTATATACACACGCACAGTTTGTTGTGCATACACGAATCTCATTTCTTTATGAATTTCAGATAGTTATTTTTTATAACACTTTACAGTAATCCCAGGTGTCAAATGCATAAATGTCTAAAGAAATTTCACTAACCTATGGTCAGGAAATTTTTTTTAATTACCCAGTGAAATACATTATTGCAACAGCTGGAAGGCTAGAGAAACGTGCTTTCTGTCAAAAGAAATTTCATGGAGATGTATACTATTCAACTTGAAAAGAAAAAGCATGATTTCAATACCTATGCCCCAGGTTTTTTTTATACATGTACACAACCAGTCAATTAATACAGCCTCAGGAGATGTAAATCGAGCAGAGCATGCTAGGCACTTTGGGTAATGTCTCTAAGGGAGCTGTCGCAGCTCACAGGTATTAACTGCTTACGTCATTGTGGTCAGTTTCCTGTACAACATGGGACAGTTGCATGGCAGTCTATACTCTAGGCTCATCACTACCATGAGAATGCTGGAAGAGGGCTTGACATTTAAATGTCATCAAATAGGAAAACACATGTCTCGTCATGAAGCCAATTTACTTGAAGGGTTTTTCCTTTTTCTTATGCAAAGCAAATCGAAAATTAAAAATGACTTCCATTTTAGCACCATGGCGTTTCGAAAAGCATCAGCAATCACAATCAAACAATCCAACATAAGCGGGCAAAGTCACTGATGTTTTAAATTTTAGGAAAAAAATAAGAAAAAGTACATTTCATCATGAAGTTACAAAACCAGTTAGCTTGTTAATCAAAACAAAGTAATGACATCAGTCAGCCAACACATAAACAGACGTGAGAATTTCTGCAGCTCAATAGATCGTTGCAACTTGATAATGATTGATGTCAACATGGTTGCCACTCTGGAACAATATGAGGGTACACATGGACCACTTCTTTTGCTAGTGAATTTTCTTTTTTAAAGTCAACTGACCATTTCTGTTATCAAGCAACCCTGCCAGGCAAGTTAACAGCCACTGGATTATTTGTTTTCCCTCACTTCCCTTTGTAGGGAGGGAAGCAAGAAATTAAATGACAATTACAACAATCTTTACATCATTGGCTGCAACACAGCCTCAAAATCTCATAATCTACATGTATCACAGAGCGCTTTGTGAATTGTGAATCTGGCTACATGCTGAAGGACTTCAACAGTAACTCAACACAGCCAGCCATTGTGGGCTCGAGTCACCTTGCCCGGCAAGTCTAAGCACCAAACTACTCCAACAATCAAGAGCCTCTAGCAAACCCCCCATTAACTGTGGAACATACTCCATACAAACATCAAGGCACTGATTAACTTCTGAAAAGACAATAATGACAAATTGAAATACTGTTGATCAACCGTACGAGTTTCTTTGCTATCAAACTCCAATAATGATGACAATTTAAAAGCAGAGAATTCAGTTACATGTGAAAATGAAATATCATGCTGCATTTCATTACTTAATGCACCATTCTTGCTATGATATAAAGACTGAATGATAAATTTCTTTGAAAAATCACGTTATGATGTTGACAAAGGAAAACATTTCAAAATTGACGAGGACACACGTCACATCTTGTCATTGCATATTATGTCAATATTTGAGGGGCTCCGTCAGCCACCAACAGCGCATATGAACTCCCTCAATCTGATGTCATGAAATACAATACCACGTACGTTCAACTCAATTATCCAACATAAACAAATTTCACACTTTCAAATACTGCAACCTGACAATTTAACATTAGGAATTTCACAGTATTGATTTCAACCAGTTTCCAGCAAAATTAAAAAAGACTTACTTTCTAAGAGATTATCCTTTATGTATAAAAGGAAACATGAATCTTTGCACAGATTGATTGGGTTACTACATGCATGTCATTGCACTGGAGGGAGTAAGTAAGATCCACTGGACTCACTTGTTGAGAGCAGTGCACTCTTCAGACCTGGAACATCTTGCACTCCTTATGTTCTACATGCACAGAGGGTGGAAGTATTATTGCTGACCCAGCCTGCAGGCCCAGCTCATCATCAATCTGTTGTTGGATGATTTCCACCCAGTACTAAAAAAAGGAAAACATGTACCAAGGGAAATAGCCACAAACAGTTAAAGAAATTCTAGAGCTTCTCCAGTCTAAAATTTAATGAGTAAAAGCCCAAAGTAATGTGATCAAAATCTTATCAAAACATGGCACAGCCATTGGAAATTGTGTATAGAAAAACAATAGGACAAAATGTAAGTCTTCAATTTTCAGCTCAGTGACAGGGATTTGAGTTCAATTAATATCTTTGTAGTTCCTTTCTTGGGTAAG